GGCTTAAAGAAGCGTGATGGCTGTGCAGATGGAGAGAAGGAATGGACGTCTAAAAGTAGCGGTGACTAAAGGACTTGCTGGAGGACTGGGTGTGGAGAGTGAAAGAAAGGACTGGTGTTCTGGCTTGAGAAACTGTGTGAATAATGATGCTACTTATCAGATAGGGAAGCTGCAGGAGGGAGAAGAACATCAGCTCTGTTTTGAACTGACTGAGATATTCAGAGACATCAGGTGAGGGCTGGGTATATACGGGCTGAAGTTTCCAAAAGTAGATGGCACTTAAAGCTTGGAAATGAATGAGCCTTCTTTCCAAGGGAGAAATAAGTCTGGAATAAGATTGGAAATGCCAATCTTAGGGTGGGGGTAGAGGAGGAGAAGCCAGACAAACAGGAATGTCCAGTAAAGAAAGAGGAGAAAGGGTGAGTGTGTTGTCGTCTATGACAAGGGAAAGCATTCTGTATAGGAGGCCTGCTGAGTGGAATGTTCCCAAAAGCTGAAATTTAAAGCAAAAAAAAAAAAAAAAATACTATGAGGGTAGTTTCAGTCAACTTCTGCTGTATCAACCCCACTGTGCTGTCAGTTCAGCCTGGAATACCCAGGGGTGGCAAATATACTGAAGAATCATCTATATATACCATTCAGGAAGAATAATTCTGCTCTGTGGTAGAATCCAGTGATGAGTCCTCTTCGTATAACAAGTGTCCAACAGATCATTCTAGAAAGAACCTGTACAGAGAACCAGCTTGAAGAACCATTTGGAGTATGCTGAATTTGCCTTCAGCTGACTTCCTAAGACTTCACACAGGGGAGTATTTTCCATCTGATTTTCATTTCCAACACGATTCACCCCCTTCCAGATACTTACCTCCTTGCACTGTTGGAACCACCATCAGTGATGTTCCTTCCTATTTTCTTCCCCTCCCCCTTACTAAAATGCTCACCAAGAATGCTGCGGACCAGTGGTGTCCAATACAGTAGTCACTAGCCACATGTGACTATCTAAATTCATTACAGTTAAGTAAAATTTAAAATTCAATTTCTCAGTTGCGCTGGTCATATTGCAGGTGCTCATGTAACCACATGTGGCCAGAAACCACTGTGCAGAGTAAATGCAGATATAGAACAACCCCATCATCTTTGAAGCTCTATTAAACAGTGCTGTTCCAGACAATGGCCTTTTCCCATAAAATTCATTTCCTTAAGACACTGCAAGGAGGGCTCTTAATTAAGAAACTGGCCCATGAGTGGATCTAATTGCATCAGATACTATATTTAGCCTGCATGATATTCTTTTTTCCCTTGTTAAAATTAGGAGACCCCTCATTTTTCTTTTTAGGGAGATGATAATATGTCCACCTGGAAAATGTTTGATTACTGAGGATCCTTTTGACCTCGAGGTGCCCCTGGGACATAGTTCTAATAAATGAGATATAAGAGAAAAACCCCACGGTGAGGTTTCCAGGAAAGCTATTATCTTTCAAAGGAAAGGGAACAGACGCAGCCAGCATGTGTCCTTTGCCCTTTACCTCCCCTCTCTTCTTTCCTGGAAGAGGGGCACAACAACAGGCTCTTATGAGCATGACAATAAAAGTCTCACTGGAAGGCAGAGTGGAAGGAAGTGAAGATGGAAGGTGTGCAGACACTGAGGGCTGTCAGGTGGTCACCTCGCCATCCACCCCAGACTGACAACCTGCAGATTTATTTGTATCAATTACCTACAGCCAAACACAGTCCTTACTGGGTACCCTTCTGAACTCAATAAAGAGATTTTTGATTTGAAGACTTGGTTTGGAGAAAATCCCGCCTCATCCATACTGTCCAGCTAAGAAAGGCTTGGCCTGAATCATGCCTGAGGTCGTCCCCTGCATGAGGGCTCCCAGGGAGTCTGGGGGTCACCACATGTGTAGTCTCAGGCGGCACCATTTCCTTTAATTGTAGCTATAAACTAAAGAACTCCCCGAAGAAATGTGAACTGATTGTGTAATGAAGAGGTGGCTCTTCATTATTCCTTCTTGTTTCTTAAATTGGACTCATGGGCAGCTATTCCAGGAGCAGAGAGGGAAGAACAGCCCAGTCCGTGCCAGCTCCTCACGCCAGGTATACGGCACACAGGAGGGAGGCCTCTGATCAAGCTCTTATTAGCCTCAAACAATTAAAGGCACATGAGCCAATCTTAAATGAAATCTTACAATCATACATCTCTAAGAAATTAATACATTTTAGGAACTATGTTTTTTTCAGTAGTAACTGATCTTTTTAAAAATTCATGCATATACAGTTCACATCAAATTCTCAGTGTTAATAAAGATATTTTGAGAAGGTCCACAGGTGTACTCTGGTCATTGACTAGGACTCATGAATAAGTCAATTACAGGAAGAATGGCCGGACTTCACACTGACTTGCTTTCCGCCAATCATCCCCATGACTCTCATTTTCAGGTTGTAATTTCATTGTAATCAAAACTGAGCTGCTTAAAATTATGTGATTACTTGCTTTCACTTTCATGTACAGTCATTGATTTCTCCCAGCCTACCAGAATTGGCTTCATCATTTTTAGTGTTATTGTTTGGAAGGTGCATCAAGAGCAGCATTGGCTGTTGGTTGCCAGGCACCTGCTGATTAGGTAGATTTATGGATGGTTTTAGTTTTACTCATTCCTTACTCGCTTACACACTCAGGCAGTCCCTGCTTCGGAGTCAGAGACAAAGAAGCCAAATAACCTGTCGAAGTTACTACAGTGAGTAGGAAATCAAGCTGGAATCCAAATCCTGGTCCACATGAATATGATTCACCTTCATCTTGCTGCATGGCATGGCCTCACTTAGTTTAAAACAAAATGCTTAACTTATATGTGATTCCCTTAATTTATAATTTAATCATAAAAAGTTCTTGAGCATCAACCATTATTCTAAATTTAAAGATACAATAATTTGAGGGAGACAGTTTGATAATATCCATGAGAATTGTACAGACCATAGCAGTAACTGTATGGATAACACAGCCTTAATTGGCTGCTTTTCCATTCCTGCCACTTTTCCACTATCCTACCAGTATCTCCTCTACCTTCCCAATAAATTACTTGCATCCATATCTTTATTGCACAATCTTACTTCCTATAGTTTCTCTGCAAAGAGTTCTAGTGTCTGGGGAAATTATGTTTCTCGTATATCAAGTAATTGATAATCATGTTTATACATTGATCTTTTACTAGTTTGGCTAATAGGAGTCAGTTCCTCCTAGGGCGCAGACAGCTCTGGGTAGGTGGACAAAATACAGACTATAGACATACAAATTAAGAATTAGTCTAAAAATTATCACTTTGTGATATTCTTTCTCACTTACCTAATAAACATTTGATCTCATATGACAGGGAGATATGTACATTTGTTTTCCTCTTTCATTTCCTCCCCAAAGTTAGAGAGAGATTCACTGTGCGGGAGGGGGTATATAATTTGATGAATACGTAAATGTCACAGGTTTCTACAACATTAACCATTTCAACCAAGTCACCAAAGCAGATGGGCAAGGTGACCCACATGAGGCAGGCCCCGCATGTTGGAGGGCGAATGGCTGTGACAGTAAGAACAAAGACATGGGTCGGGTACTTCCAGGAACCAGGCAGTCTTTCTGTGTGTCACTGTGAGAATTAAGTGAGTTAATATGTGCGAAGTACTTTTTTAAAGGCTATAATCAGCAAAAATGTTTCTGGTTAACTAATATCAGCAAAGAGAGACTCACATCTAAATTAATATTGATAAAAAGTCAAAACAGTTGGGTGTCACTCTTGGGAAATCTGTGGTATAGCGAGATATCCAAGAGCAGAAGGCTAGAGCTCACACCAGGTCTGCCACTTTTTAGTTATGGAGCAGGTAGCACCTCCCTCCCGCTTCCCTTTGTGACACAAAGACCACGGAGGCAGCCTCACAAGGACCACGTGAGACCACCCAGCACGAGGGAGATTAAAAGGCCCTTTCCCCTTGGTTCACAGGAAAGGAAGAATATATTTTTATAGTTTCATAAATATATATATGACAGAACATATTCTATAGTTGGTTACATATTTATACATAATATTTATTTATAAATTATAAATTTATTTCTAATACACATATTTATAGTTAGTTAGAGACTAGATAGACAGATACATGCGGATGTTAGGTAAGTGATGGAGATGGATGGTGTCCCCTCCTTCTGTGAATTATACATGCATTTTTTTTTTTCCCAAAAGTACTGCCCAACTGCACTGTGATAATGACCTTAAGGAGATAAAGTTATATTCTTTTGGCTCGTTTCTACATCCAGAATCATCAATCACCTCAATCATACCAGAAACCTGGAAGGAACTGTAATCAACATGTATCATCTCAACAGCATGAAGTTTTGCAAGGCTGAAGTACAGGAATAATGTCCACCCTGCTCCTTTCAGGATGAGGCTCAGGTGGACCCCTCAGCATTCTGCCTCTGGGCTCTCGTTCGGCAGCCTTACCTTTCTTACCTTTGCTGAATATCCTCTGTCTGTCTCATTCGTTCTCGCAGTTCAGTACTTTCAATAAGCTCTTGTTTGGGTCTCAGAGCTATCATAGAAACTGTGTGTGTATCCCTCGCACTTCTGGAATTAAACTTACAGTGTAACCTGACTGCTTTTCTTCAAGTTTGTAGGTGATACTTTGCCTATCAGTTTTCATTATACAGAAATAAAAATCATTTTAAACTGGTCAGTTGTGGCAAAGCCTTTCATTATCCTCATAGGACTTAGTCGAGTTTCAACAACTCTTCATCAACAGTATACTGTGTACTTTTACATAGTCCTAAATCAAGAGTTCAAGATAATAAAGATCTCCACAACCCTAGCTGTATATTGCCTTTAGGTCTTACTGCTCATTGCTTTTGTTTATCTTCCTTTTAACAGATTTTTTTTTTTTGAGGATACACAGAATAAGAAAGGAGGGGGAAGCAAGCAAGTTGCATGCAGCTCTCAGGGGCTGTGAGAATCGCTCACCTCCGCAGACCACACCGTCAAGGTCTTCACAGCGGCGGTCATCACACTCACACATCCTGCCGTAGACCCTGCGATCTCCGGGAGGGTAGCATGTACATCGGCCACATTCACACTGACCTGCAAAATACAAAGGAGAATACAAATACTCCTTTGGTGTCACAGAGTCGGTAAGGCTTTCAAACCTCCCAGACTGGTTCCAGGCTGTGCCTGTTAATAGTTCAGCAGATAATTTCTTATCTCCCTAAGGTAAGCTGAAGGTCAAGCACAAATGCCAATGAAGTGGGGAGCTGAAGTGCCAGTTGCGGGCTCGTAAGTCACATACAGTTACAACTTCCCACTTTTTTTCATTCCTTTTTGAAGAATGATTTGGTCATCAAGCTCTCAGATTTTTCATATTCAACTTAATTTGATACTATCTAACTGAACTGGATTAATCTTATATATGTTGACATAAATTAGAATAATATGGTCATTTTAAAAAAAATATTTTTATTTGTGGTCTACCTGCCGTGTAAGAAAAACAATTCATGGGTACATCTCAGCATGATTGTTTAATAATTATTTGGTGTCAATTTTATAGTTCACAGAATTCATTTTATGGGGCCACATGTGTCAAACAACATGACCTAAATAGCTTTGTTGTTTTTGACTTAAAATTTTAAAGTCTAAACAGTTTTGGAATGAGTTTGGTTCACAGTTTGGAATTCCTCAACTATTATCATTATGACTTTCATCATTATTTCCTGAGCTGTCTCTATGCTCCAAACACTATAATTCCTTGAATTCCATGATTTTGTTTTCATATCACACATTACAATTACCATCACTATCATGATAGTAATATGGAGGGAAACGGAGACACAATGAGTTCAAGTTATTTCCTAGGGTGAACCAGCTAGTAAGGGATAGATTCAAAATTCATAATCATTCTCATTAACTTTAAAGTTTGTGCACCTAAGCATTAAGCCATACTACATCTCAACAGACACATAAGGACACCAGGAGTCTGTATGGGAAAGTACATTCCTTTTGTCTGAGGAACTGGGACTAGTTCGGCAGAGATTCCGCTGGGTGACTGCTTCAGGACATCTGTTACTCTCTGTCATTAGCCCGGGCGTCATAATTACCTACTCCCTGAAATGATCATAAGATGCTTCAGGGCTGACCTTGGAATGTTGTTAGTCACTCTGTCGCTGTGTTTGTATCTTGTTAGAGAAATTCTGAGTTGGTAGAGGATGGAAGAAAGGAAAATAAGTATTTAGAATCATATAATTTCCGAGCTGTAATTAAAGATAATCTAATGCAGTGATTCATAATCTCTTCTGGCAGACGTGGTGGGGCCATGACCCCTTTGAGAATCTGGCGAAAAGATGGCAACAGCGAGCGTTGCTTGGCTGCCCTTCATCTGGTCTCCCTTTCCGGCTGGAGGCAGTCCCAAGCCCAGCAGGAAGCAGAGCCCTCGTCTCCTCCATGATACTCCGTCTTCCTATGCCCTGGCAGACAGAGCAGGAACACCCTAGACCACACAGCCAGGGCACTGATTGTTGAGGGCAAAGGCTGAGGAGTGGGGTCTGTGGCAGAGCAACTAGTGCAACGGCAGAGCCGTGAGTGCCCAGGACACGGGAGCGCAGCACAAAGCGGCTGTAGTTGAGAAGTGAGGGCTGCCGGGCTGCGTCTTGGCAGTGACGTGCTTCCCCAGTGTGCTGGGTGAGCAGAGGGGCCAACCTTGCATTGTGAGCCTAACTCCTTCAATAAAATCTGTTTCATCCCAGTTAATGAAGTTGGCTTCTGTTGTTTGCAATCAAGAGCTCTAACTGGTAAATGCCAGATCTCTCCCTGGAAAAATATACCTGCACACATTTCTGTTTTGTAAAATGTCAGGAGGATCCATGACTTCCCACTAAATGATTTGCCCAAGGCCAGCAAGTAGACATTAGCAGTTTTGATGCTAGAACACAGAATTTCTGAGCCTCAGTTACCTTCTGCCTTGCATAAACATGCTGGCCCTCACCATAATCCAGACTGCAGAGAGAAAGAGAGAAACTATAGGACCATCAGCGGTATGGCAGGTACAATTAACCAGTCCTTGTGGACAGATGTGGGAAACATCAATCCCAGTATTTCTAAGAGGACACACAGTGCCAGTTACTAAGACAACATCAATTTTTAAGTTTAAAAGCATATGTATTTATGATGACAATTTCATTGACATCTTAGAGCATATAGGAAGTTTCCTGGATATACATTAGATATACATTATTAGTATCTGTGCCTCTTTGGAAGAAGAACTAAATACTGGCATATGTGTTCAAACATCTACAGTTCACTGTTTTCATTGTGGATAGTTTCTGTCTTGTATTCCTTGAATAAAGTTGGAGAGTGAAGTATTAGTATTCAGTCCTAGGTACATTTTTCCCTTATAGATTTCAATTCACATATCTTTTACAAATACCACAGAATAATTAACCATTCAGCAATTCTTTCCTTTTGGCAGGGAGTGGGGGTGTGTACCTGCTGGAGTTTTAAGAAGATGGAGCAAGGCAACTATTCACTAAATTAACTTTATGGACGTAGCTCAATTGTAGGTTATAGGTTATAGTAACTTCTGATGGAAAGGCAAAAAATCATACAAGAAAGGCTAATTTTTCACAGATAGAAAGGTAAAGAAGAGTAAATTCTTTATGCAGCCCACATCTTAAAGTGCATTATTTTGCAGTCTCAGTTCACAACTTTGGTCCAGTCACTACCAAGACATCTATCTGCCAGATACATTTCCACTCATCCTTCAAGATCCAAAGTAAATTTCACCAAATCTACAATGTTTTCACCCTCCTACTCAAGCAACTCCACAAATATAGCAGAATTAACTGCACCTCTCATGTGTCCTCATAATGTTTGAATCAATGTTTATTGAATAGACACACTAAACAACAATCACATGTAAATAGTTTGGTAATAATAGACAATGTATGAGCTTTAATGGTAGAACGTGAACTTAGAATAGGATGTCTCTCCTAGATACATATGCATTTCCAATCAACTGAATACCATTTTTCCCCCCACAGTTATGTCAATAAGTCCCACAGCAAATTCATTATCTTTATTCACAAACCTACTCCCCTTCCTGACTCCTTTTATCTAGGAGAAGATCACCATTAAAGTTAATCTGTCACCAAACCTTAAAAATACCTGTCGAAATATTTGATTCTTTCCTGCTTTTAATAAACTTTCTTCTCCCTTCAGTTTTAAGTTTCATAAAATCCACTTTCTTAAAATATACCTATGATTAGTAATTTTCTCTTTCACAGGATAGTTCTATGTGACTTTAGGGGCATAGGTCAAATTCCTGAACAGAACTCTCCATTATTGGTCCAACCCACCTTTCCAAGCAAATATGCTATGTTCACAGTGCACTCAGGTTCAGAGACTTTGCTTACGTACTCCATTTCTTCTCTCTGTTTTATACTATACCACTTTCTCTATAAAATACTACCCAGTGATCAATAATCAGCTCAAATCCTATCTCTATGAAACCTTCCATGCCAACCCTATCTAGTTACCTGGCAAAATTGTTCCCTCTTTCTGATCTCACAGTACTCTGTTCACAGCACTAGTAGGTCACTGAAAGCAAGATTTATACTAGATAAGCATATGCCTGACCCTTCCCATAAATATGAACTATTTACAATCCGATCCAGGCTACTGGTGAGGTTTATATCCTAACAGGATATAAATATATGTTAGCAGCCAGCAAAGTTCCCCCTTGATGTGGTACGAAACTTTTGCACACTGATTTATAGTCTTTATTTTTAAAATAAAACATTGAATCAAATCACTTTCCTTTATTTACTAAACAGCATTATTTCAATGATTGTTTTAATGTGATGGAGATAGAATCATAGCTTCTCAAATGACAATTAGATTAATATTCTCATAACTAAGAATGAAGGATAATGGAAGTTCGCATGTCTAGCATTCGTAAGTGCTATTTTATATAACAGATAGAGAAAAAATTGAAAGAAAAATATACTCAAAGAAACAGAAATGAGCCAACTCATTTTTAAGAAGACAATTCAGGAACAGATGGAAAGGATAGAAAATAACTATCTGAGAAGAAATTAATTCAGTCAACATCATCAGTATAATCCAATCAAAACATATGAAATTTACTCTACACTGAGTCATCCCACTCCTACTAAATTTTAATAAAGCAGATAATCTTTAAGCATACACAAAAAGTCAGCCCAGTGATAATATTTTATAAGTGACTGCAATCCCTATTAATTGTATTTTAAGACTTATTAGACACCAGCAAAGAGTAATAAAGTAAGGCGGATATCTAGAAATCCTGATGAAAATAGATTTTACCTAACATTTCAAATTTGACAGTTAACTTCTACAGGGGAAAACTCTAGTCACAACATTGACAAAAGGCACAATTTATATAGCTCTAGGCACAACTAATCATTTTAACAAATAAAATATATCTCTTAATTTAAATATCTTAAATTTAAATTTTCTCACACTCATTACGGTAGACATCTTCTTTCAAAGATGTGTATATGTTTGCCTTAGAGTACATTTTTTCATAAGCACTAGATTAAAATTTAAAATCCTGATATTCTTACTCCAAAATACTTACGTGTAATTCAACAAATATTAAAAATTTGTTTTGTGTGAAGTCATGAAAATATAATGCTAAACAAGATATGTACATCTATAATTTCTGCTCTTCTACATAGCTTATTTCATTTCACTAAGAACTCCAACTGAAAATGTTAGAGAATGACATTGCCAAATATTAAACACTTGATTATTTTGAGCAACATAACTGACTTCTTTTCATAATAAAAATCTATTATACTGTAAAACTGAAAGGTCAAAATTTTAAAATATATCTCTAATGGAAAATTCATATGGTCAGTAGACATATGAAAAGATACTCCCCCTTAATCCTATGGGAAATGTAAACTAAAACCACAAAGACATTC